GATTTTTCCCATCAGAAGTTGTTCCTTGGTAATAATCTTAGCCAAAATTAGCACGCATCTATGTGAGACTTTTATAGCTGAAAGAGAAAATGATTACACAACAATCAATCCTATCCATCCATCCAGTTTAGGGTCATCAAGGGTCGAGATCCTACCTCAGTCATAATTACAGGAATTCAGGCCATATCTCAAATTTTAAAGTTACTTATCACAAAGTTTCAATTTACTAAGTATCTCTAAATTTAAACTCACATAAAAAAATAAATTAAATATTGACTGCTTTGTTCAAATCACTGCTGTGCCTAGGTACAGCATCAGGAAGTGGCTTGTTTTACTTTATTCTTTCTTAATCTGTGCTTTAGGTAATCATAAATATATTACAACAATCCTTTTTCTGATTCATGAATATAATGTGGGCGTCTTTCAGGAGCTGTATGCTTCAGGCTGAGTCTGAGAAGTTAAGACAATCGTGGATTCAGGCTGTTCAAGCTAGCATCGCTTCAGCCTACAGAGAGAGCCCAGACACGTACTACATAGAGGTGAGTCAAAACTAATGGGGAAAAAATGCTTGTTTATGAGATGTTTTTCCATGTTTTTATTCAAATATTGTACTTTTTATTCCACTATAATCTATTTATCTAACACCCACAGTTGCTCTATGATCAGTTAATAAATAATGCTGCAATGCCCTAGACTAAAATACCTGTTATAAAAAAAATAGTCCAGTCGTAGCAGATGTTCCTATTAGGATATTTAAACTTGTTAACGTTTTATCTCATTTGTTTAATCTGTAAAGTTTAATTCACATTGACACAACTCCACATACTCCCTCTCAATTTATAACAATTAATACTTTGTTTCACTAAAATTGAATGAAATTCCATCCTAACCGATAGCATTTGTTTGTAGCATCTGGACAGAACAGCCTCTCCATCCACAAGCAGCATTGATTCAGCCAGTGAGCCACGGGAGCGCAGCGCCCGGGGCGAGACCATCCTGCAGCGGATCCAGTGTCTGCCGGGAAACGAGCAGTGCTGCGACTGCGGTCAGGCCGACCCTCGCTGGGCCTCAATCAACCTGGGCATCCTGCTGTGCATCGAGTGCTCCGGCATCCACAGGTAGAAAAAACGCCTGCATTATTCTCAGAAAAGTTTGGACAGGGCCATGTTTACTATACTATACCATCTCCTCTTCTTTTAACTACAGTCTGTAAACACGTGGGAACTGAGTCCTCTGGAAGAGGAAGCTTGACTCATTCTTGTCTGATAGTATTCTAGCAGCTCCACAGTCCTGGGCTGTTTTTGTCATATTTTCCGTAGGTTGTCACTTTTAGCTTAGCATTGGAGTCTGCTAGTGTCACGTTAAAGGGAAGGTCATCATAGTCATATTGACCTCCCAATAGCAGACGAGTGTAAAAACAGCCTTTCAATGTCAAACTGCACAATTAAGCACGATAAGCATCTTTAGGGTGGACTTAAAGAATCTGAGTGCTTCCTCTAAACCTGCCTCGTGCTGTGTGGCGGCTGCTGGCTCTGAGGACAGGAAGAGGTGCCAGCCGCCTGCTAAAGTTGGGAGAGCACGTTCTGCCACACACGCTGCTGAGAGATTAAAGTGTAGGACACTGCTTATTGGATCAGTCGTGCCTTGAGTGAGAGTTTTTACAGAGTGATAAGTCTTTGAATAGCTGAATTCAGTGCTGGATATGATGTAATGCTGCTGAATGGAGGTACCATGTTTGTAGATAAACACTTCCTTTGCACTTTTGTTTCATTACATCACACTGTGGCGTCATTGAGGGTCGTTTTCAGGCGTCCGATCCCTCAGGAGTTTTGTTTATTTTGCAGCCACAATTTTCACTGCTTACGTAATCTCAAATCCCGTCCCTGAATGTGTGTGTGTGTGTGTGTGTGTGTGTGTGTGTGTGTCCACCTGTTGAATATTCATGCTCCTCCTTTGGACTGTTCTTCTCACAGAGAGATCAGACGTGGCCTCTTGTAGCTCAGTGCAGTTTTTTTGTAACGTGCAACAGTTGCCTAGATACTAGACAGTGATTTGCATGACATTAGGAGCCCGGGATTCAAATCAGGTCACCGCACAACGCCATGGTGCATCTTTTCATATTAGAAGAATATAAACTGCTTTTTGTTTACTCGAGCTGGACGCCATCTGCTGCTTTACAGTCCCAACAAAGTGAAATTCTTCCCCTTTAAGCACTAAACAGTTTGACTACAGAACATCAACAGCACATCTCTGGACTCTGAATATGTTTCTCTTGCAGGAGTCTTGGAGTTCACTGCTCAAAGGTGCGCTCACTCACGCTGGACTCATGGGAACCAGAATTATTAAAGGTACAATTACTCTCAGCTAAACAGCCATGGGGCAGTTTTTAACGCATTACTAGAATAACCTAAAGATGAAAAATGGATATCACTGTCTTATAGCACTTGTTAAAACCTACTGTGACAAAAGGCTTCACAGTTTGGATGAAATCACACATTAAAACACGAGTGTACCTGTTCAAACAGACAAACAGTCAAACACCGTCGTGCATGCACACCTCCATAAACATTAAAAATATAAGATATGATAGTAAGTCAGACTAAAGAGGAACCTATTTGTTTGGCTTTTTCCAAAGCAGTATCCTTGTAACCAGCTAAAATGAACACCTTATGTGGAAAAAATGGTTTAAAAACACCGAATTAACTGAAATAAAAACAATAATAAGACTTTTATAACAGTAAAGGATAGTTTGCACTGATAAAATGATCTAAAATAGAGAAAAATACAGGAATTGTTTTGATCTTCAAAACCATTTATGAATATGTTTCTTGAGAATGGGACATCTACATGACCATTACTTAAGTATTTATATCGTAACATAATACGTTGTTATAAAATAACCCACTTTATATTGTATATAATGTATCAATGTAAAAAAAAAAGCTTCTATGTCACTAACACTAAAACAAATAAAAACTATTATAACTAAATATTATGAACCAAACTGGAAACTCCACTTTGGAAACTAAAATGAAAAGAAGGCAAAAGTTGAAATTCATTAAGAAATTACAGAAAAATATAAAATTATATTAACTGTGGTTAGGGCTGTTCGATATAACGATATATATC